CCGAGGCTACAGAGGGACTGAGAAGCAGCAGCCGGTGATGTAGGAGGGAAACCAGGAGAGTATGGCGTGTCTCTCACCTTTTTCTGCTTGCCAAATTCTTCGTGCCTTGAGCATCATTTAAGCATCTCTTCCTCTGGGACGCCTTCCTCGACTGGGTTGGGCAAAGCTGGTTGCTCCCTTTTCTGTGCCCTCCTGGCATCCTGCATACACCCTCTTACAGCATTCATTACAAGGAATTATCATTCCTATGTGTTGGTCTTCCCCGCTCAACTGTGCATCTCTTAGGAACAGGGACTGTGTCTTATCCATAACCACACGCCCCACAGTTAGCTCAGGGTTCATCTCAGCGGGCGCCCAGGGAATGCGTTAGAGTCCAAAGGAAGAAAATAGCCTAAATATCAGAAGTGGTCCAAGTTATGTTCAAGAGACAAGAATTAGCTCCGTTTGGCAGGCCCACAGGCCTCAGGGCGGGTACAGGGCAGGGAGGCTGGATTCGGGTTGGGAGGCAACCAATGCCAGGCTGAGGACCCAGCTTTCCATTATGTTTAAAATGTGACGATTTCATAGTTTCCTATAACTTCAAGGCACTTCCTCATAGACAAGTTTGAGAACTGTTGTTACAAATAACAAACCACATAACAATAATAATAATTAAAAAAACCTAACATTTATTAAGTGATCACTCTGTGCTCAGTACCATGTCAAATGTTCCATATGGTTTTCTCTCATTTGATCTGGAAACAAAGATCTGTGAGGTAGATACAAATATCATCTCTATTTGCAGATAAGGAAAAGGAAGTATAGAGAGGTTAACTTGCCAAGCTCACCAGCTAGAGTTGCTGGAAGGAGGAGCTGGAGTTAGCTCAAACCCAGGGCATCTGAGAATGAAACCCAAGCCTCACATGACCACTGGGCTGCTTATTTGCCTCCATCCTATGGGTGTCTGGGGCTGAATGGGGAGGAGGAAGTTAAAGAACAATGAAGAAAGAGGAGAAGCATCTTAACGAGTTAGGGAAGGTATCTCTTCCAGACATTTGGGGAAAGGGTCGTGGTCAAGGAGAGAATTAGACATGGAACTAGGGGAAGACAGACCAAGCAATGGAACTGGAATGGATGTTATTTAAAGCTGAGCTGGGAACCTTTCCTCTGTATGTGCATTTCTGCCACATGAATCATCTACACCCAGACGGACCTCACTGTCTAAGCCAAGGTCACACTGCTGCCCTCAAGAAGACCGACATGAGGATATGTTGTTGGGGGCTGCCTAGGCAATGACAGGGAGAAAGGCCAAAATGGCAGGGTAGCCACGTTCCTAGGCAAGAGATTACAGGAAACCTGCCCACAGCCTGGGCCTTGCCAGCGGTTGCCATGGGCCATCACAATTTCCCAAGTAGTTATTGCGGCTATAATGGGAAAGGGGTCATGGTCACGTGTTTGCGATAAGTGTAATTTTGTTGTCTAGGGTTTGTGTCCTGGAATGCTGGCATCTGGGCCAGGCCCAGGCTACAAGCAAAAAGGGGCTTCATAGCAAAGAAATAATCTATCACATATGCGCAGAATATTACAGTTTGCAAAGCCCTTCATAAACTTTATCTCATGTGAGTTCAAGAACCCTGTGGGATGGGCGAAGAAACTGAGGCACAGAAATTAAGTGCCTTGTGCGAGATTACATAGCAAGTCAATGGCAGAACAATACACTGTCCCTATATCTTTTGGCTCCAAGTTAGTTCAGATGCTTGAGACGCACGCTAACAAGTGCTTTATTTAACAAGTGACAAGAACAAAGAAAGCAGGAGGGGCCTCCAAGGAGAAAAGGATAATATTTTCTCAGTCATTGTGAATCTGAAATGTATGGTGAAACACATTTCAAACATCGAACACCTCCTACCTTGTCAAAGCGTTTTCGCCTACATTACTTCACAAGGCTCCTCAGAAGGTAGAAAAAGAAACGGAGGCTCAGGGTGGTGATGAAACTTGCCCGAGGTCACACAGCGCTGCAGGAAGAGACCCCTGCACTTACTTCTAGCGCCGTGCTCCTCCCCTGACCCCAGGCCTGGAAGCATTTAGTGCGGTCAGGCAATGGAAATGGTCACAGGACTGTGGTTCCATTCGCTAGGCATGATCTGTCCAAACCAGAGGTTGCCTCCCTGTCTGCCCTCCAGGCCCCCACAGCTCGGCCGGGTTCCACCCGGATGGCTGCCCCAGGGAGCCTGTCTATAACCAGACAACCGCCCTGGCCCTCCGCCCTGCACCCTCTTTGTGCCAGGGCGCCGTGGCTGGGCCATGCACGCCAGGCCTACATGATACCCCTGGAATGGCTGTCACTGTCAAACAGATGTGACCACACAGTCCCCTGGAATGACCCCTGGATGCCCCCACATTGCAGTTGTCTCCTTCACCCTAAGCTTTCGCTGTCTCAGGCCAGGGCCTGTCTTCTCTGGTCCTACTTCTGGGTTCTGCTCACTTCCCCCTTCTAATGCCTTAAGCTGCACACCTGGTGGCTGAGCTGGACATCCTGCCCGCGACCCAAAACGTGGGGTCTGAGTGCCTAAGGACAGGTTTCTTGATGACGATTAGCCCCTCCTGGCACTATCCCTGCCGGAATTCCCCTCCAAAGGGTCCGCTCTCCTGCCTGGAGACCCTGATGGCTGGCGCCCAGCCCCCGGGGGAGCCGCCCTGGATTTGGGGCCGCACCTCAGTGCCAGCCTCCTCTCTGCTGCCCCTCTGCCTCCCTCCCCATCCTGCACCGTGCTACGGTCACTCCTCTGCCACAGTCTTAGATAAAGGACTAGAAAATAACCCCCAAAACGGATCAACAAATGGTGCCTATTTACCATTCACAGCAGTGCAAGTGAAACGATGTTGATACCAACAACCCGCGCGAACACGTGGTGGAAAAGAATATTGCGGAAGTCTACACACTTTGCAACGCGTTTTTATAAAGCCCCCAAACAAGCAAAAGAAAACAGTGTATTGTTTAGGGATACATTCATGGGTTATAGAAGTATTTTTAAAGCAAGGAAACGATAAACATAAAATTCAGGATAACGGTTACCTTGGGGGGGAGAGGGGGAGGAACGGGACGGGGAGCGGCACGGTGATTGGGCGCTGGCGCCGGGAGGCGGGGCTTGGGATGGTTATTTTGTTGTTCCGCTCCTTAGCTTACACACGTGTTCCAGGTATTCTTTTTTTATATATACAACTGCTATGAACTAAAGATTAGATGCTGAGGGTCCCAGAGGTACCCTGTCATATCACCCCCTTCCCATTCTGATTTCTCTGGTGGCAGGAAGTTGTGAGCCTACTGAGTGCCTGGACTCCATGTCCCCCAACCCCATTCCCCTTCACAGCCGAATGACATGAAAGGATGTCTTCGCGCATTCCTATGGCCTTGCCTCCCGTGCTCTGGCTCACTACACTGTACTCTGACCCCTGTCCCATCACGCCACTGAAAACAAGTGTCGCTGAAGTCAGGAAGTACAGGGACATTTTCAGATGGGGCCTCGTCAGACATCTCAGCAGCATTTGCGAGGCCGCCCCCTCCTGCTTCTTCTCCAGGTACGTCTTCCTGGGCAGTACGGTATCTGCCTTCCTGATGTCCCTCCTATGTCTCGGTCTGCTTCTTCTCGGCCTCCTCTACGGGGTCCCCCTCCCCCGCCGTCCCTTACTTACGTGGCTGAGACCTTCTCAGGCCTCGTCTCACTCTGCAGCCCCTCGTGGCTTCTGTCACCATCCGAACACTGATGAGTTCCTGATCTTTCTCTGCAGCCCAGACTTTTCACTCCTCAACTCCAAGCCCAAATGTCCAATTGTCTGCTCAACCTTCCCACGTGGATGTCACACGGGCATTTCAAAGACATTTCCAAGTCCAGCTCCTGACCGTCTTCCACAAGCCTGGTCCCCTGCCGGTGGCTTCTGTCCATGCATGTAAGTGCTTAAGCCACCTGCCACTCGGTCTCGGTTCTTGCTCCCTCACTGCCACCATCTCTCCGCTCTCCCCCAGCTCCATCCAATCACCGAGCCCAGCCATCCTACCTCCTCGACGGCCCTTACTCCAACTCTCCCCATCTCCGCCCTGCCAGCATCATCTCTCACCAGTACGAAAGCGATCAGCTCACTAGTCACCTCCCCGATCCCAGCCTCGCCTCAGTCCGTCCCCTCCCTGCAGCCAGTTTGTTCTTTGTAACGTGCAAATCTGAGTTCGTCGGTCCCCTGCTAACATCCTCAAGTGGCCCTCACTGCCCTTGGCTCTCAGGGAGTTGGCCCTCACCTACCTCTCCCACCTCATCTTCCCTCATCTCCCTCCCAACCTCTGCCTCCAGACCCCCCTCCAACCGCAGAGAACCTTTTTCAGTTCCTCAAATGATTCATGTTTTCCTCTTCCAAGGGCTGCAAACGTGTCTCCCCTTAAAACACCTTGTCCTCCCCAGCCTTGCCCAGTCTCGCCTGCTTCATTTAACTCTTAACTTCGGGGTCCAGGTTACTTGTCATTTCTTCCAGGAAGCCTTCCCAGACCATCCTTACTCCCATCCAGAAGACGTTAGATGGCTCCACAATCTCAGTGCCCAGGACATTTCCTCCTCCACTTATCACTTGTGACACTTCACGCTAATTACTTTTTAAATTATTTGTCTCTCACAGAGACCTGACTTCCGCTCTCACCAGGACCTCGGACAGTGCCTGGCCCCTACCTTAAGCAGGTGGTAAAAACTGCCAAAAGAGAGAATGAATACATGAATGGCAGGCACTGCGCCTCACATATGTCGTCTCGTCCTCAGAGGGAGGTGCTATTAATTTCATTTTACAGATGAGAAAAGGGAAGTCACTTACCCTGAATCACACAGCCAGCAAATAGAAAGCTGCAAGTTGGATCCCGGGTTGACACCAAAACCCACACGAGCAACCACCCCTCCTCACCTCTGGCCAGCCCGCCCCCACCCCTCGTCCCGCACGAGGCCCTATCGAGACTGAGAACTCGGGCGGGGGACGGGCGACGTTACCTGGAAGCACGTGGGCCCCGGCCTCCCTGCGGGGATGTCCGACTGGTAGAAAACTTTGAGCTCTGGCGTCAGGGCAATGACAGTCTTAATCACCAAGGAGATGATGTCAGACCAGACCTTCTTGATGTCAACACCTTTGGAAGACAGCCTACAAAGAATGCTAGAAAACGTCCTTTTGCTGCCTGTGCTAGTACTGTCCGAATGGACAAAGTTGCCGCTGTGGATGTTCAGGGAATAGTTGGTTAGGTGCATGAAGATGTGGTGCAGGTTTTTGGAGCTGGGCTCCTGGTATGGCTCCGTACAGAATCTAGAGAGTCCATCTTTGGCTATGTAAATCTCTAAGGGGTCTAAGGACTTCAGTAAGACATACAGACGAATATCAAACTTAAGCTTGTCGATAAGGAGAGGTTTGCAGATGTACTCCTGGACCACCGCCGGCCTGCTCTGGAGGGTGCCTGCCAGGCGGATGTCACTGGGGTCTTTAATGAGGTAGATTCCGTCACCCTGACAACCACCATCAGGCTTCACAATAAAAGTGGGCTTCCAGGAGGGGTCACCGTCTTTCACCATTCGAACCTGGGGGGAGAAAAGAAGGGTTAGCATTATGTTATTTTCCTCTCGGGCCCCCCAGGACAGAGCAGGACGTTGGCAAATGCTTGGTGAATGAGCGACAAAATGAGCCCCGTCTATGTGAGCACTCGCCGAGCACCTGCTGGGGGAAGACACTGTGCCCAGTACTGAGACAGTGACCTAAGGACAGACCTCAATCCTCCAGAAGGGAGATGGAGAAAGAGCGCAGTGAATTTGCAGGCACAAGACCTGGGTTCGAATCCCAGATCTTTGCTGGTTATTAGCTATAACCCTGAGCAAGTCGTATAACTGATGACGATGATGATGACCTAGGACTATTTATGAGTGCCTACTAGGCCCCAAGCACTATATTAGGCCCTTGTCGTGAGTTATCGCATCCGACGCTCACAGACGACACAGTGGTTCTTTTTATCATATGGGGAACGGAGAAGGTACAGCAGTTGTTAAGAGCGTAGCGTCAGGCTGCCTGGGCTCAAACCCTGGCGCTGCTACTTACTGTGTGACTTGGGCAAGTTACTTAAATTATCTGTGCCTTCCTCATCTGCAAAATAGGAGAAAGATTATTCTGAGGATTGATGAGGTAATACCTGCGAAGGGTTGAGCCCCGGAGCCTGACACATACAAGGCCACCATCAAGCCTCACTGTTGCTGTTTTTCAAGGATGGAGTAGCTTGCTGGCTAAGTGGGGGGCAGAACTGGAGTTGGTCTCTAGATCGCGGATGTAACACGCACCTTCCCCTGTACTGAGAGGCCTCGGTTTCCACGTCTTAAAAACAGGGCTATAAAACCAACCCTCACTGGGTCATCATAAGGAAGAAATAAACTAATATGTGCAAGGGCCAAGCACAGAGCCAGTACACAGAAAATGTTAGTTTTATCATCTGTGTCTCTTATAAGGTTCATCTAGCAGATTTTACCAATCCGTCAGTGTGTTGAGATCTTTTTGAAACTGGATTCTGTCATCTGTAATATTTGCTCTCCTCCCAGCTCCAGGTCAGCAGGACACGCACATAATCATCCAGGGCGTTTGACTAGTCCAGTCAGTCTGGATCTCTAGGTCTGCGTAATTCATACGCGCCCAAGTCTCCTGGACGCCTGTCACATCTTTCGTGCAGCCATGGAGAACAGATGGACTACATGGCGGGACAGGAGGTTTTCACGGAGGTGGGGCCGGAAGGCAGAGGAAATGTAAAGGTGGATTTGAAAGAAGGAGCCACTCTCTCAGCTTCTGGCGTGAAAGAGACGGAGAGCAGGCCTTCCCTCCATTCTGAAGTGTGTGATGCAGAGTCGGGGTGGCAGGCCCCAGCACTGGGCTCGCCCTGGCCTCCACCTTTGCTGCGTAAGCCAGCTTGGGGCATCTGCACTCTGGGCTTTACTTATCTCTCTGACCAGCCTATATTTCTAAGTGAAGCTTTTGCCAATTCCTTGGGCACTATCAGTTACTCCGGGCTTGTAAAAGATCTTTAACAATGGAGAAACACTTAAAGCCTTAATAATGGTCCACATCAATTGTCTCCCCTTGTCAGCAGGATTCGGGAATGAAACTTCATCGGAGATCAATGCAAGCTTCCCAGGGCCCTCCACGGAGCTTTCTTGCAACTGCAACCTTGACGTTTATGTAGTTACTTAATATTCATCCACAGCATTCATACATTCGGCCCTTTACAGTAAATATAAATGTTCTGGAGAAGTGGCAGTTATGGATCAGGAGGCGAAAAATGTCAAGTTTACACTGATGGGTAATTTCTCCCTCTGGAAAGCTTCTGCTATGCCGAAGATACTAACAGTTCAATACTTTTTTCAGAAGCAATATTTTTTTCTCTTTTGAATTCAGTGTGTATGCCTTAAATAAATTAAACTACATGGTCTATAGTCTCTGCCATTCATTGCATTACTGAATATTTCTTCTGCTCTTTGCCAGAGTAGTATCATACAAATCGGGATTATTAATACTAACAGAATCATTGAATTTTTAGAACCATTAGGATCCTCAAAGTTCAATATCACCCAATCCTCTCATAATTCGAATGCGGAAGCTGAGGCTCACAGAGGTGACATGACTTGCCTTGGGTGCCATAGCTGGCTAGAGACATGGTTAGGATGAGAACTGAGGTCTTCTGTGCCATTTTTACCTCGGATAAGAAAAAATTACAGGTCTCTTTCTCCTGAATACTATAGAAAAGAACCTTTTAACATAGCAGACATCATTGGTATCTGAGCTCTGTCCTCACACCAAAGGGTTTGGCCCCTGAGCATGGCCTTCCTGGAACTATAACCACAGACCCTGAGTTTGCCAGGATGGCTCCCGTTCCAGATCGCCTGTCGGGGTTTCTGGTGCAGTCTGTGTGGAAGCCTCCTGGCTGTGCTGGGTGTGGTTCCCGTAGTCACCAGACCCTTCAGCAACTTCTGTTTTTCGAAGGGAGATAGATTTTCCAGAATTTCATATTCACTCTCCTCACTTTCCTCCCAACTACTAAAATTATTAAAGTTAAGGACTAATGCATTGGTTCTTAGCAAGAAGTCATCGACCAGGATCTAAATATAGTCTGTGTAACTAGGCCCCGACTCCAGAAATTCTGATTTCATAGATCTGGGATGAGACCTGGGCATACGTATTTTACAAAAAGCATGACAGGTGATTCTGACATTCGCTCGGTTTGCGAATCGCTGGACTAATGTGAATTAAATAAAAATACAATTTGGGATCAACATGTATTGAAGTTTTATGCACTGTTAGCCTGAACTCCTGCACTTAGGCTACAGCTGATGGCATCTCCGTTGTTACTCAAACCTGCTGTGGAACGTGCAATCCACTGAATGCAGGGATGGCTGAAAGAGATACCAAGAGATGCGGTGGCCTGATTGCTTGGCACTCACCCGGCCCATTAAAAAATATCTGTCTGTTACTGCCCCCTAGTGGAAACCTAAGAAACGCAACTGGGAAAGACCCTAATTCCAAATTCTCTTTTTAGATGTTAAAATGGTCTTAAAGAAGCACCCCTACAAAGCTGTGGTGCTGTTAAGGTAAGATCATACTTTGAATGAACTCATATCTAAAATGCCAGGGTTGGTCAAGATCACATTCAGTTTTCATACTCTCTGTCTTAAATATTTTCAAGTGTTCTTCCTACTACACAGATTGGCCTACCTGTTAAAATTCTCAGTCTGTATAAAACTTTTTAAATTATGGGCAAATAATACAATCCTGGAAATATGTGCCACAAAAAGCCAGCGATTTTTATATTCTTTATTGTTCTTTCTTGCATTTTCTAGTTCCTATTAGGAAAATAAATATTAGTAACGACAGTAGGCAGCAGCAGCAGCAAGTGTCTCTAAAGATAAAGAGTTTTATAAGGAATAGCTTTTGGTGAACAGATATTCGTATATCTGTGTTCATGGCAGCATTGTTCACAATAGCCAAAGGTGGAGGCAACCCATGCCCATCGACAGATGAACGGATAAACAAAATGCAGTAGATTCATACAATAGAATACTATGCAGCCGTAGAAAGGAAGGAAATTGTGGCACATGCTACAACATTGCTGAACCTTCGGGACATTACGCTCAGTGAAATAAGCCATCACACGAAAGGACAGATACTGTGTGGCTCCACTTGTATGAGGTACCTAGAAGAGTCAGATTCATAGAGACAGAAAGTAGAATGGTTACCAGGGGCTGGGGGAGGGGCAATGGGGAGTTAGTATTTGATGGGTAGAGTTTTAGCTGGAGAAGATGAAAAAGATTCTGGGTTTTGGAGCTGGTGGTGACAGTTACACAACAGTGTGAATGTACTTAACACTGCGGAACTGGACACTTAAATGGTTAAGACGGTAAAATTTATGTTATGCATATGTTCTCAAAAGTTTTTTTAAGTTGAAAAAAATTTTTGATGGAAAAAAAAAGAAAAATCACTTTTGGTGAGTTCGAAAGATTGCTGACGCAAAAGGCAGAAAATCTGGACTCTAGTCCCGATTTAGTCAGGTAATTTCTGTCTGTGGGACCTTGAGAAAGTCGCCTAACCTCTCAGGCTTTGTTGAATTCACCTATAAAATGAAGGGGTCACACTAAGGTCCCTGGCTTCTGCCAGCTAACAGGTCCTGAACAATGATTTATCCTGACATCACCACAGTTGAAGGCTGTGTTACAGACACGCACGTGACATTAATCAGCGGAGAGTTCGCGCCGAGCCGCAGTGACAGGCGCGTGGAGATAATCTATGTGAGCAGGAGATCTGGGTGAGAGATGGATGGTGCACTCGAGGAAGCTGGCCGGGCACCTGGGGGAAGCAAGCTAAAATATTTTGAGAGAGAAATTCAGCAACTAGGATACCAAGCTGCAAAGCATTGTTAGCGGCGAGGGGCAGGTAAAGGGCAATTCCTGAAGAAAGACTGTGTCTGCAACACTGAGGAAGTCGAAGTCAGTTAGAGCAGTCCTCCGTCAGGCAGGCGGATTCGCATCTAATCTTAGCAACCGAGACCCTTGGCATCGCAGGCACAGGCAGCAGATCTTAAGCAGAAGCAAGCCTCTGGGTAGACAAAGAAACGCCACAAAGCACACGCTGGACACGGTGCAGGAACCAGCCCCTTCCCCTTCCAGCCTCAGTGGACCGAGCCTCGCACCCAGGGAAAATCCCTACTCCCGAAGTTCAAGGCGACTTCTGAGTCAGCCGTGAAGGAAGCAGTCTGCAGTCAGGTGCCTGAGGGCCAGACGGGAAAGGGCAAAGTGGGAGAGAGGCGGGTGAGGCCGAGAAAAAGAACTGAGCCGGGAACACGCTGTCGCAGAGCAGCGTCATGAAGGCGGGAGACAGCGGGATGCGTCCGGGGAACTGCGAATAGTCCCCGTGGCTGGACAGCAGAGAGCGGGGAGAGGGGAGTGCAGTGAAGTCTCACTCCTGAGATCTGCGGGGGGTCAGATCACTATGACAACAATTACGTCATTAGCGCACACCTGCTGGGCACTAATTATGGGTCGGGCACTATCATAAG